TAAGTGATACACAAAATGTAGAGGAGGCCGAGGAGGGTATTACAAGTATTTATGTATCAAAGCCTGTGTACCCTGTGACGTTGAGATAATTGTTTTTTATTAGTCGGCCATTTCAATCATTACAGATTTAGTGTTCCTGAGACAGAAAATTTTAAATAAATTTGCAACGTTTTTCGCTTATAATATACAAGGGCAAGACATATTTCTATCTCAAAAAGGTTTAAGGTTTATAAAGACTGTACTCTAAGATTTGATTACATTTAAGAAGTGTTTGTAGGCTTTAATAATTAAAAAATATTTACCTGTAATTGACAAAGCCCCAGAGGTATATTTTATATTACATGTTTAATTTTAACACATCGTTTTCAATATTAGCATACTTTAGAACTACAACAGAAAACTGCAAGGTTCAAATAAGAAACGAAAATATATGAACAACATCTTAACAATAATGGAAAAACAGGCATCGCCCAAACATAACTATAGTCAAGTTGATTATCCCTCCATAATCAGTTCAAAATTTGGGAACAAAATTATATCGGACGTAAATAAATCTACATGGCTCTGTACATCGCGCGTATGGTAAACATGGTTATATGTGTAGTGATAGTATATACACATACAAACTTTGAAACCGAAACGATAACATTTCTATATGTTTTTGCCTTTGTTCTATTAAAAATATGTAATAGAACAATATTTATTAGCTAAGAATAACCATCTGTCAATTATCGCCAAGATTCTCGCAGTGAAGAATTTAAATGGGTTCAAGTAAGGGAGTTGAAACTGTATTTTCTATCATAATTCATCATACTTATATAATTACAAAGTTAATATTCAGTTATTTTTATACCCCTTCCCTACAACTAATATTAATAACTGCTAGTTGGCAGAATGTATCAAATTTATACAAAAACAAAATCTTGCAACTTTTACGTAGGGCGAGGGATGATACTTTTAAGCGATTATCAATATTTAAAAATACAGCTGAATATATTCGTGTCTGTTAGCCCTATGCACCTATGTTCAGTTTATTTTTATTTATTTAAACTTGTTATTTACATATAATGCTGACCAAAATAAAAAATATGATGGAATATATATTTCACGATGGATTTTACAGTACACCCAGTACAGTTTTAAGTAAATATCAGAACAATAAAATAAGCTAACCAGCCGAAAAGATAGGTACTGAGATATATTCATCTCGTTTATTTGTTACTTTCTCTAATAACGGGACTAATATTTTACATACACGATCATATAATAAAAGATATATCAATATGAGAAAAATAAAGTTAATTCATTTACGCTGTACATTTAGACAACCCTAGCAGAGTTTCCTCTATAATCAAATCTTAAGATAAACACTTGGTATCAAAATTATTTCGAATACAAATAAAACTATGTTTTTATATATCACATGTAATATCATAGTTTTTAAAGCAAATAACATTTTAGACAAGGCCAGCACTCATATAATTTCTCCTTACGACAAAATTTCCNCACCCCAATGGACCTTGTGGAAATAAATGGATTAGTCGTTGTGATAAATGAATGAAATTTAGCTGTGTATACCAAATTTCATTCATTTATCACAACGCGATTGAGAGATATTGCAAAAAAATGATTTCCATTCCTCCCTCTTCAATGGGTCCCTGTGCCCTTAGGAAGCATTTCCGGACCCATGTTCATATGAACTTTTTTACTTAGTTTTGATCATAGAATAGGCCTGTTCAGGGTTGGCAGCTAATTGTGAGACACCCTGTATAGTCCAGGCGGTAGAGCATTTGAGGCGTTTGTATTTGAAGTCATCTATTTTGTTGTACAGAAAAATCCCAAATATTATATAGAATAAGAATCCGAGTTTGCCTATTCCAAAACACCATTGCTAAATTCAGGGGAACAACAAACATACAAGAAGAACGAAATGACCCGTTTTTCGACATATTTTTCCCTGTAACATTGGAAGTAAGCCCTAAATAAAAAAAGTCATTTTTTATTTTTTGTTTATTTGACGATTTTCTAGAAAGTTACAACTGCGAATCAAAAAAGCTGAATTTTGCGTTAATGGGCGAAAATAGTAGAAAATCATGTGTATATTTGAAGCAATTTTTAAAATAAGTAAATATTTATAAATATTGATGAAACTTTGTGAACAAATAGTAAAACATGTCAATCCTGACCTAAAAATTTTGCTAGGATCGATCGCGTGGTTTTCGATTGACAGAGTAGTTAATAAAGAAAATTTCAAAAATTTATTAATTATGTGTGCAAGATTTTGTCGATTGCATAGGCAATAAATAATTGTTTATGGAGTAAATCGTTGAAAAATTAAAAAAAAATCTAAATTGTTATAAAAGTGTAAAAATAGGTATTTTTAGTGTTGATCATTGTTTATTATGACAATAAGTATCTCTAAAAAATTGTGTGNAAAATTTTGTTATAATTCAATGAATTAACAGAGATCATTAATAACATAATATATATTTTTTAATATCCTAATCATTAAAACGTAAATTTCGTAGAATGCATTGAAGAACACACACTAATAAAACTTGATTTATATAACTATTTTTTAAAAGCAAACGAAAGTGGCATAATTCTTTAAACTCAAAATTCGTGCAAAAATTATTTATTTTATTGATTTTTGATGACATATTCGTATTCCTCCCATTTTGCTATATCAAATTAAAAAAAAACGTCTTGATAAGTGCTACCGTTCTCAAAAAAAGTCATCTTTTATCGGGCATACGCATTTTGAAATCCATGCGGCGCGCTGCTGTTCTCAGTTATCCCCACTCCTGCGCTGCCGAGAAATTCCAGTGACCACGGTACTTTCTTCATTTTTCTTTCATTAGGCTTTTATCTGCCGAAAATCCATTAAACGGATGTTGAAAGTTCTTGTAGTTAGCTATAAAAACATATTTTTTTCTCGATTTGACGATTACATAAGCTATAAATTATTATTAACTTTACGCTTCTATATCTCACAATCTATACAGTACCTAGAATGTTGTCGTATTTGGCTAAAAAGCAAGGGGTTACTTCCTGGGCAATAAATATCTAATTGTTTATAAGTAACACGTTGAAAAATTTTAAAAAAATTGTAAATGGTTATAAAAGTGTAAAAATAGGTATTTTTAGTGTTGATCATTGTTTATTATGACAATAAGTATCTCTAAAAAATTGTGTGCCCTTTCTAAACCTTAATTTAAACCTACGGTACGCGATAAACTTTTTTAAATTTTCTTAATTAACAATCATGTCAATCGAAAACCACGCCATCGGTTCTTGCAAAATTTTTAGGGTAGAATTGACATATATTTTACTATTTCTTCAAAAAGTTTCATCAATATTTATAAATATTTACTTATTTTAAAAATTGCTCTAAATATACATATGATTTTCTATTTTTCGCCCATTTTTAATGCAAAATTCAAATTTTTTGATTCGCACTTTATAGAAAATTGTCAAATAAACAAAAAATAAAGAATTACTTTTTTACTTAGGGCTTACTTTCAATGTTACAAGGAAAAATATGTCGAAAAACGGGTAATTTTTGTTCTTTTTGTATGTTTGTTGTTCCCCTTAATGAAATTGACCAAAGTGGGATTAATCAATGGTTTTTTGAAATAGGCAAACTCGGATTCTTATTCTACATAATATTTGGGATTTTTCTGTACAAACACAAACGCCAAAGCCTAATTTTACTGCTCCACCGCCTGGACTAATAGACAAAAAACACGTTTTGTATTAATTTGAGAATTTTTTTTTTTTAGAAAATTTGCTTCTACAATTCCAAGATCATTCGGAGTGAGATACAACGCATACACACAGAGTATAGAAGTTTTAGATTCCAAACCACAAATTCAGCGCTTAGTAAACAATATCAGTTCCGAAATCTCAATCTTAATGGATTCTATGAAGAAAATTTGAGGGTTTGTCTTGTATGCAGAGAATTTGAAGCTTTACTTTTCAATCATGTGTCCACAGCACATCCTAAATGTGTAATATTTAATACTTTAATAATTTTCAAATAATAATAATTATTATATGAAATTAAGTGATAAGTGATAATAATGTTATTATTTAAGGAATAATGTATTTATACCCAGCTAAATGCATTTTTAAAGTGTTTTAGCTTAATCTCAATAAACAGCCCCATGACAATTGTAACATTTATTTGCTTGACATTATAGAATGTAATATACAGTTTTGTTAATTTAAAGTATTTATGATGAGAAATTAAAGAAAAATGGTTTTAAATATCAAATTGTTTTATTTTTATGCTATCCCGAAAATTAAACCTTTAGCAAAAACATTTGTTGCAAATACTCAGATGTTTACTAGATCCGGATTTTTCTGTATGGGACGTTTTTTATAAGCAGTTTTTCAACATTCCTCTTCTGCATGTTTGTGATTACTTCTCCGGTTTGTGTCACTTTCACTATGGTGAGTCTGTCCTCTAAGTTCCATGTATCATCTACAGAAGCTACTAAAAGTATACATTGCACAAACAGAAAAACAAAGAGATTAAAGGAGCATATGTCTCACTTAAAGAATAACAACATGGAACCTAAGGCAGATACAAGACATAGATCTAGTGGGTAAGAAAAAAATATTTGACTCTACTCTACAAACTCTACAGAGAGGCAATAGAAGTCCAGAAGAATCGATTTAATAATAATTTCAATGAAGAGAAGAGGTTAGAACCTGGAAGTTGGAAATGATTCAGTTACCGGAACGCCGTGTAACAATGTACACAGCAAATACAGGATGTTTCTGAAATAAGTGCGTTTCTTGAAAAGAGTGATAGAGCGCACGAAAAGGAGCAACTTTTACTAAGCAAATGATAGTCTAAATGCTTCTACTTTCGAGAAAATTAATTAAGAGAATTAACCATATATGTAAGCCGACCCTGTGCATCTTGTGCACGTGTGTTGAGTGTGGCAGTATTACTCAGCCGGCGTATAAAATGTTTATTGGTGTGATGCAAATCCTTACGTTGTACAGAGAACTCGGTTCCAACAATGGTTTTCAGGGACGGCTTTACATTTGTTTAAACCTTTATGTGAAATTTTTAGACCATCCGGTGCTTAATAAACGTTCCCTAATTTAGTGCCCTCTATCACCCTTTTCAAGGAACACACTTATTTAAAAAAAACCTATATATATGCCAGCCAGAGGACTTACTCTCCAGAAGAAGATAGTGATACATCTCTCGAAACAAGAACTTTAAAAACGGCGACGTGGCAACCAACCGAAAATTGTTTAGCATCAAAATATGTACTTTCATATATTTATTATTAACAAACTGATTTTTCACATAAAATTTTTGTCACAATAGTTGCAATCTGATTCTCTTTTAACCTCATTTCAGAGAACTGTTTTGTTTATTACTTACGTCTTTTGTTGCACATTAAAGACTTACCACTAACAGCTGCCTCAGCCTTTGTAGATACAGTTGCAATACGAGATCTGTTCAGAAAATAACTGAACTTTTTGAATTATGCGATAATGGAGATATTTAGTGAAATATGGTTGGCAGCATTGCTATGCGCATAACCTCCTCTGTACATACTTGTTCTTGGATTGTTGATATCTCATTTTACTCTAGTCGGCAGAGGCCGAAAAGTTACTGTTGGTGACATTTTCTTGATAACTCGGAAATAACTACACAGGTCTACTTTAAATGATGAGTATAATGACAGGCTGATTTGCTGACAGAGTATTTTATCAGGAAAAAAAGTTATTAACAATTTAATCGTGAAAAAAATTTTTTTTAGTAGTTTTCTTTAAATAACTCAGCGGGATGACTTTGTACGAAAAAATGCTTAGGACATGATTTTGTTCGTAATAAAAATAGCTACAAAATGGCGGTGGTCCGATTACGAAATTTGCAATAACAAAGCCGTGAGATTGAAAAAACGGTATAAAACGCCAATTTTTTTAAGTTGCTGTAAAAATGTCAATTATAAACAAAAAGTGATAAAACTTTCGAAAACTATAGTTCAATATATATACAATAATGACGCTAAAGCCGAAAATCAGGAGAGCAAAACTTTTTGTTCTATAAGGTGTTATACATTCATCGGCATCTGAAACTCGAAACTTTGCCAAATTTGTTCGAAGCTTTGCTGACACTTGAAATTTGGTACACACATAGTGTAAATATGCAGAAACCAAAAGCAATTTGCAAAATTCAAGTATCTTCATTTTTGCAGTTTTGGTAAGGTTTTATACGTCACCCTAGTTTTATACGTCACCGTTTTTTTAATTTTTGGACGTATATTTATGTATATTTATAAAATATTCCATTACGGTAGATTAGCCAGCATAATTACCTACAATTTAAAAAAATATATATTTTCATCGTTTAGATCCTAAGCTACTTAACATTTTGCGCCTGTTAGCCGTAGTCGTACATTATTCAACATATTAACATAAAACAAAATCGTACGTGTGGGGTAAACCTTTAACTTTTCATTTTCGAGCGCGAGCTCCGCTCTTCGGCGCTTGTATACTATTAGAAATATGCAACAGTAAATTTAAACAATTGTTTACTTAAAGTTAAAGGTTTACCCCACACGTACGATTTTGTTTTATGTTAATATGTTGAATAATGTACGACTACGGCTAACAGGCGCAAAATGTTAAGTAGCTTAGGATCTAAACGATGAAAATATATATTTTTTTAAATTGTAGGTAATTATGCTGGCTAATCTACCGTAATGGAATATTTTATAAATATACATAAATATACGTCCAAAAATTAAAAAAACGGTGACGTATAAAACTAGGGTGACGTATAAAACCTTACCAAAACTGCAAAAATGAAGATACTTGAATTTTGCAAATTGCTTTTGGTTTCTGCATATTTACACTATGTGTGTACCAAATTTCAAGTGTCAGCAAAGCTTCGAACAAATTTGGCAAAGTTTCGAGTTTCAGATGCCGATGAATGTATAACACCTTATAGAACAAAAAGTTTTGCTCTCCTGATTTTCGGCTTTAGCGTCATTATTGTATATATATTGAACTATAGTTTTCGAAAGTTTTATCACTTTTTGTTTATAATTGACATTTTTACAGCAACTTAAAAAAATTGGCGTTTTATACCGTTTTTTCAATCTCACGGCTTTGTTATTGCAAATTTCGTAATCGGACCACCGCCATTTTGTAGCTATTTTTATTACGAACAAAATCATGTCCTAAGCATTTTTTCGTACAAAGTCATCCCGCTGAGTTATTTAAAGAAAACTACTAAAAAAAATTTTTTTCACGATTAAATTGTTAATAACTTTTTTCCTGATAAAATACTTTGTCAGCAAATTAGCCAGTTATTGTACTCATCATTTAAAGTAGACCTGTGTAATTATTTCCGGGTTATCAAAGTTTGACACACGCCGAACCTCTACCAACTGGACTATTTAGTTTACGTGATATTGTTATTTGAGTACATCGTGTTTAAGTGTCAGTAAGGATTTTGATATGTTCGATTTTCTGGAACAAGCTTATGGAGATGATGCTCTGGGTCGTATACAATGTTACGATTGGTTTTCACGATTTAAAAGTGGTCAACAGTCAATTGAAAATGGTCCACGACCAAGAAAGCCTTCGATTTCAACACATGCCTACCAGTTTCAGAAAGATCTGGGACGTGCAAATTGCCGATTGACTGTCAGAGAAGTTGCAGAATGTCAATTGGATCGTGCCATGAAATTTTGAATGAAATATTGAACATTCATCGAGTTGCAGCAAAATTTGCTCCTCGTTTGATGACCGAACAACAGAAAGAAAATTGTGTGGACGTTTTGTCGGCAACTCCTTGAAGAATACAATAACGATGAAACATTCATATAAATAATGATAACGGGAGATAAATGCTGGGTTTACGACTACGACATTGAGACAAAGTATCATAATGGACTGGCAAAGAATCTCCACGCCCCAAGAAAGCACGTCAGTCTCGATTCAATGTCAAAGTGATGCTTACTGTTTTTTTTTTCGACTTTAATGGAACCACAGACAATATAGCTTCGCTCCAGACCGCTACTAGAATAGAACAGCAGTTTTAAATTTCCGAATTGCTGAGTGCACCACCAGCAGAATTTTAGGAAGAATCAAATGCAGCGGCCCGCATTCCTACGCCTATCCTAGTAACATATGAACACAATGCCTGGCAACAACAATTTGGCAATGTTGCCAGGCGTACTTACTGATTTATTTTGTACACTTTTTTATCAATATGTGTTTTTTGTGTTACTGTATTAACATAAATGTATGATGTAGGTATTGATAAAAATGATTTAAAGAATCAACGAATATCTATGAATTTTCATATGATATTCTGCACCGGTGTCGCAGTTAGGTTACTTAATCATAATTTTGTTAATTAGCTACTATTTTCACTTTTTGGTATTGACATACTGCAGAAAATATATTTCCAAATAAACAAAATTCGTAATGATATTTTAAACAGCTTATATAATTTTTATAATACTTGATGGTGATGATAAATTTATTTAATATGCAAGGTGGGTATTAGTAAGTTGCGGAATGTAGCTACAGGTTTTTTTGTGTATTTTGACATCCACTTATGTTTAATAATTGAAGAACTTTTGCACATTATTGTTATTTGAATAATACAGTTTAATTATGTTTTATTTTTCGAAATCGGAATAACCCATTTGAATTTTTTTTTAAATTAAAATGGGTTATTCTAATAATGATAAATTCCATGTATTTTTAAAGGAAGGTTCGTTTCTCTCATTTTTATCTGATTGTGTGCGAGAGAGATAGTTATAGTGTGCGATAGAGATAGAGTGACTTTGTGCTCATAGATGGATTTTCTCTCTCTGTGTCTCTCTCTCTGCTGTGTTTAGGATTCTCTGGGGCTTCACCAGCATCTTCAGGACACCTAGGGAGGGGACGTGGGGTAGAGCGCGTGGCCTTTTTAGCCTTCGTCATCGAGCTATGACGTCACAACCTATGAGGAAAAAAAACCGGTTTTTGCTCATAACTCGGAAATGGCTGGAGATATAAACAAATTTCCCCTTGGTTCTGAGTAGAGCATTCGGTGGTAGAGCAGCGGGGTGTCACAATATATGAAAGAAAAAAAAAACAGTATTTGCTTGTACCGCGAAAATGACTCGAAATATCAAAAAATATCCCATGGTTCTGATTGGTGATGGAGTGAAAAACGTCCGAAGTCTGCATGTCGAAAAAAAAATCGGAACCAACGATGTGTGACATCATAGAATAAAAAGGTGTTTATAACTCGGAAACGGTGCGCTGAATCGAAAAATCGAAAAAATCTCTCCACACCCCTGGTTCTGATTGTCCATTCTGCGTTGAATGCAAAAGTTCCGAAGTCGGTATGTCGAAAATAAATTTCGGAAACGAGGTGTGTGAGGTGATACAGTAAAAAATGTTTTATAACTCGGAAATGGTGCGTTGAATCGAATTAATAATTAAAAAAATTCCCCTACACCCCAGGTTGTGAATATCCGTTCTGCGTTGAATAGAAAAGGTCTGAAGTCCGTCTGTCGAAAAACAAAAAAGTTAGTAAATTGCAACAGCAGTAGCGAAGGAATTTTGAGGAATTCCCCTTGAGGAATTTTATTAAATAAAAAATTAAGGAAATTTTACATTCTTAAATTTTTTGAAATAAATAATTAAGTAAATTCATAGCTTGATTTATTTTATTTGGCATTTAACACAAATCTCATTTCCAAACAAAACATAAGTTCCATATAACTCTTCAATTACATAATTGAATGCATTAAATTTATTTGGCACTTATTATTTGACAACAAAGCCACCGCTAGAACTGCCTCATATTACCGAGTAGAAGAGTTACCATGCTAAATTTTATTGCTGGATGCCGGTTAACAAGACCCTGCATCCTTTATAGGTTCTCAATTTCCAGCATTTTAAGCGCAGTCTGAGGCGATAAGTTATATTGTCTGTGATGGAACTGTGCATTTTGAATTCTTGCCTTAAAGTGAAACAGTGAAACGTGTACTACGAAGGTGTTTTACATCGGTTACGTGTAAAAATCCACAAAAAGAGACCAGAATTGTGGCGACACAACTAATGGTCCTTGCACCATGATAATGCGCCCGCACACTCAGCTTTGTCAATTCGTCAGATTTGTGCCAAAAATCATATTACTGTCCTTCCTCATCCTCCATACTCGCCTGACATGGCTCCTAACGATTTTTTCTTACTACCGAAATTAAAATCAGTGCTGAAAGGACTCTGTTTTCAGACTATTGATGACATCAAAGGAAATTCGTCACAGACTTTAATGGACATTGCAAATAAAGCTATCCAAGACACCTTCGCGAAATGGAAACACCGCTAGAAAAAGTTTGTGAATAGAAGAGAGTAGTACTTTGAAGACATGGACCAACAATGTATGAAATTAATAATAAAGTTTATCGTATTTACAGCAACTCTTCACGAATAAGTGTGGGCTAACAAATTATGTCCTAAATCAAATCTATTCTCTTTTTATTTCATTCTGTATTTATAACATTCGTTAAAAAATAATAACTCCTATGGATATAGATTCGTTAAATATTCGAAAATATAGACAACACGTTAAAAATTCACAGATATCAGTTCTTAATTAATTTCAATAAATAAGTACATCCTTAACCACTACACTGTACACTTATAAACAGTTAAAAACAATAACGGAGTTCATTTCGATTGTGTGTTCGAGTCTGGTGCACTGTAAATAATATTTGGCTGGTGCTGATGCTGTTGGTGTTGAAGAGGGATGGACATCGGCACAGAAACAGGTACTAGGACTGCAGGTGGTCCCGGCATTCCCGATGGAATGCCGTGGACCGTCGTGGTGGTACTGCTGACTATTCCCGTATTGCTTGGTTGGTACGATATAGGTACCTAAAATAAAAACTCTTTTAGTCTTTATAGTAAATAGAAAATAAGTGTAGTTAAAGATATGCAGAGTGTAAAATATTTAAGGAGGTAATAGTATGAATCAAAATAAGCAGAAAAGTCTCAATAAACATGGGTCCGCAAAGTAACGGTTGCGGAGATATGGAATGTTTTATGTTTTTTAGCCCCTTTTTTTATTTTGCAAAAACGTTGTGTATTTTCTTATAATAGTTGGTTGATGTTTAGTGAAATAAACAGTACGTATTTGACAGTTGTTCTCAGTGCACAAGTTTTCTTTCGCTATGGCTGGTTACTCTAACGCAGAATTAACAGACATGCATTTCATGTATGGTCGTGCTAATGGGAACGCCACCGAAGCGCGACGTCTTTATGTTGACGCTTATCCAAATCGCCAGATTCCTTCACAACGCATGTTTGGAAGAATTCACCAAAGATTGCGTGATACCGGTTCCTTGAGCAAACAGTGCCATTTATCCGGAAGACCAAGGTCGGTATCCACTCCTAGAGCAGAAGAAGAAATTCTAGCACTGGTAGAGCAGAATCCAGGTACGAGTGTGCGGAGAATATCAGCCGAGGTAGGAATTAGTGGTCCTCTTGTTTGGAGAATCCTTCACGAGCAACTGCTTTATCCATACCATGTGCAACGAGTACAGGCCTTAAATCCAATAAATGATCATCAAGCACGTTTGGTTTTTTGCCGCTGGTTTCTACGTCATGATGCTGAAGACCCTCGTTTTCTTGCAAACATTCTTTTTACTGATGAGGCCGGGTTCACAAGAAATGGAGTGTTTAATTTTCACAATACGCATATTTGGGCCGACGAAAATCCTCATGCTCTAATAGAATCTGGACATCAGGCACGTTTTTCATTAAACATTTGGATGGGTATTGTAGGTGACAGGTTTCTAGGTCCTGTTGTTTTACCAAACCGATTAACAGGCGCTGCTTACCTCAACTTTCTGCAGAACACACTGTATGAGTTTTTGGAAGACATTCCTTTGAATCAGAGGCAACAAATGTGGTTCCAGCATGATGGTGCTCCAGCTCATTTTTCCATGGCCGTTAGAGAGCATTTACACCAAACTTTTCCACATAGATGGGTAGGAAGGGCCGGACCTGTTTTATGGCCTCCAAGATCGCCTGATCTGAACCCTCTAGATTTCTTTGTTTGGGGATATTTGAAGACATTAGTGTATGGTACTCCTGTAAATAGCCTGGAAGAGCTGCAGCTACGGATTAATCAAAAGTGTCAAGAAATCCAAACCAAGGAGGGTGTTTTCGAAAGAGTTCGAATATCGTTGAGACGAAGATGTCGTGCCTGCTTGGAAATAGACGGAGGGCACTTTGAACATCTTCTGTAACTTTGTTTTTTGTTTGTTAAATGCTTCCTTTGTCAGTTTATTCCTAAGAAAATAAAATGTTTGAAAAACGAATAGTGGACCATATCTCATCAACCGTTACTTTGCGGACCCATGTTTATTAATACTTTTCTGCTTATTTTGGTTCATACTATTACCTCCTGAAATATTTTACACTCTTTTTTTAACACCCTGTATTTAATTCAACCGTGGACGTTGCTGTTATGTGCAGTGGCGGGTAATATAAATTTTCAGAACTAAATCGCCAAGATTATGTACGAAATAGGATTGCTCTAGACTTCTCACTTTGATAACTTTTTATTGTGACTGTGACTGTATCTTTACAATCAATAAATTGTATATATAAAAATTTAATTGTAAATATAGATTGTCAAAACAGCTTCTGTGCTGTTATGATAGTAGTAGTAGTAAATACACGACAAAATTTCAATCGATTCTACTTTTCTTTTCATTAATTTAGCAATTGAATTGTGAGTACACCGTAGTAAAAAACGATATGAATGAAAGCAATAAAGGTATGGAGTGAATTCATTGAGTGAAATTATTGAGTACATTTTCACTCAATATTGAGCATTTTGATAATCTTACACATTTGTGATAATATTTGAACTAAAATTGAGTACTTTCACTCAATCGTTAAATAAATAACTTCTGTAGATAAGCTCGTATTTGATGCACTTGCAGCTAACTCGGAGTAAGGTCCTCATTTTTGAGTGACCCCACACCTGTCTATAGTTGTCGTGCGTTGTCTTTGTCTATTCCCAGGTCATCTCGTGGCGTGGTGTATGACGTGTAGTGCTGGACAAGTGTCTGTTAATCCGGTTATTTTGGTGAACACTATGTTTAAATGCAATGGTTTGATTACAATAATTAAAAACAATAATATATTGAGTCTCGATTAATATTTGGTTAAATAAACGGATAGTTAAATTGTTACCTATATATCTGTAACGTACAGGGTGATCGATTTAACCGAAGAAATGAGTTTTTCTGGGAAACAGCCGAGAAAAATAAATTATTTTAGAAACTATTTCATTTTTGCTTACTTTTACTAGTAGGGCAGAAATACAGAAATTGTTGGCTTTCAAAAAGTTCCGTTAATAGAGTATTAAAAGATCAGTTATTACAGGTTACTATACTAACAGGTGGATAGGTATAGGAAATAATGCCCCTTTAAAGTGGCCACCTCGATCCCCGGACCTAAACCCATGTAATTATTTCCTTTGGGGAGCGTTGCGGACCACAGTTTATAACTTTTCAGTAAATACAGAAAACGAATAATGGGAAATAATACAACATGGAATTAGTGTTATGAGAGGTATTGCATTGTGCATATATTGGATAAAATTCATTTTCATTTTCGACGAACTAATGCTTGCGTTTAAGAACAAGGAAGTAACTTTGAGCATATACTGTAATATTATTTTAGTGTGATTACAAATATCAATTTAGGTTTATTTAAAATGTTAATGTTGACTTTCTTACATTATTAGTTGATACTGTTTATTTAAAATATTAGTGTTGATTTTTATTTCATTGATTGATAATACTTGTTCAGTTGTAGACATGTTGAACGCACCCCAGAATTTCACATGTGTAAGTTGTTAGTTCTGGGACATGCGCCGTCGAGGCGAAGTACAGAAAGATAGAGAGAATGAGTGTGTGTGAAAAACAGTGAGAAGGCGAGATTCGTAAATCTATGTAAATCATAAAGGTGAAAGTTACAGTCCACAATAAAAGGCAAAAAAACACGTATGAGTATTCTTTAAACATCCCAACAATACTAATACTAAAAATGTGAAATTATTTTTTTTAATGTGACGTTTTTCCATTATTATTCCCTGTTTTGAGGTTGCAGTTATAAATTATTTTTTACAAATCGGAATTTTTGCCTATATTTAACGTTTAAAAAATGCCAGTTTTACGTGAAATCCATAAACGATATCAAAATTTTGTAAGAGCAAAAAAATCTTCTAAATTAATGCTTATTTTTAAAAATATAAATTCTGTTCTACTTTTGTACATAGGTAAGTTAGGCTAAATAGTCTTATTTTCATCCAAGGAACCTGTGGTCAAGCGTTGTCCATCCTTTTCAGGGACACCCTCTATATTCCTAATTCTGAGTATAACATAAATTATAAAAAAATTGTAACTTCAGTTTAAGTAGAGCATGTTATGTGCAGAATGACGTTAATTACCAGCTTTTCTTACACAGCCATTAAATTAAATCATCTAAATGTTAAGTATGACGAATAAGGTCGTTAGTTCAAAAAAGATTGTTATTGAAATATTATCTAGCTTTGTACTTTGTAATTTATTATTATTTTGGTTCCTTGTTTTATTAGTAGAAAAATAATATTATAATTACAATGATTGAAGTGTACAGTTAGTAATTAATGTCCAAAGTTGGAATTTTTTTTCTTGGGCTGTTCGTATGTGAATTATATTTATTTGGGAAAGGTTTCTACAAACAATAATTCATTGGCGCCGTCAGGCCATTCACGTCTTGTTATTCCTCTAAATTGGCACGGCATTTTAATTGGTGTCAACTGCTACATTTCTTCAAAAGTGTTGCCTTGTTAATTTATTAGTTCAAATTTTATTTTGACTAGCCAAGAAAAATTGAAAGCAGAACTAATATAAATGAAATTCTTTACAGTACTTTTAATTGTTTATATTTATAAAATTGTCGTCTTTTTATTTATTATTACTATTTCTTTTCAAAAAATG